ATGGGTGTGTGTGGGTGTGCGTGAGTGTGTGTGAGTGTGTGAGTGTGTGTGGGTGTGTGTGAGTGTATGTGAGTGTGTGTGTGAGTGTGTGTGGGTGTGCGTGAGTGTGTGTGCGTGTGCGTGAGTGTGTGGGTGTGGGTGTGTATGGGTGTGTGTAAGTGTGTGTGGGTGTGTGTGAGTGTGTGTGGGCGAGTGAGCGTGTGTGGGTGTGTAAGTCTGTGTGAGTGTGTGAGTGTGTGTGGGTGTGTGTGAGTATGTGTGGGTGTGTGTACGGTTGTGTGCTCGGTGGGGGCTGGGGGGGGGGGGAACGGTGGCGCAGTGGTTAGCGCGCACTGCCCTACGAACCCGGCGCCCCGAGTTCGATTACCGCTCAGGCCAACATCGGTGACGATTACCTAAACCAGACCATGGGCATCTCCTCGGTTGACTCGGCCTCAAATCAGTGCCCGGTGCTACTGGAGAGACAAAGGTGGCCGGGGCGTGCTCGCTAACAGCACTTGCTCCAACAGTCTGTTAAGGCTATACGAGGGATCTTTATCATTGCATGTGTACAATGTTGGGAGCGGTGGCGGCAGTGGTCGGCTCACTGGGCTACGAAAAGTGCGAAATCAACTACCTCGGTTTGCTCCCGGTGCCAGGGCTCACATCAGCAACGACTAATGTCTGATCGTGATGTCGCGCTAACCACTGCGCCACCGCTCGAACCCACACACAACATGGGAGTGACCAGAAGCTGACCCACGTGTTCCGATCATATAGATCAATATCGATGATGATAATTGTATGTTGAACTTATTTTGCGCCGTACGTAGTCAACCGTGCTAATCGTAGGTGCGTGACGTCTGTAACTTGCAGCATCGTTCGTGTGCTGTTATATTGAGGCAATTTAAACTCTATTGCCTATGTACGTAGCAAGGTTTTAATTTGCTTACTTTTACCGGTAACCGAATGAAAAACGCATCCGGTAACCGGTTTGTCGCAAGACGCCAGGCCAATGATCACAGCATTTATTTTAAATGAGAAACGTACACACCACGCGGAATCAGAATCAATCGGAATCTTTCTTTATACTGCAGGAGGAATCCGATGAGCTATGAAGCTCTTCTTCACAGATGTCCGGTAGGGGCACGTGGTCAGAACGTTACAACAACGAATCGTGCGAAAAAAAAAAACACGAAAGGAGTGCAAAGTACAGTAAAGAATAACAAATCACTTTGAAAAAAATATACAAAAATTTCAATATACTATTGTTTTTACCTCACCGGGTAAAAAGGCCCCGTCAATCATCGCAAGCTTCTCGAACGTCCTGGAAAAAATTTTAGATTTTTCGGACTTTTCGAACCGGTTACCTCTCCGATAACGGTTACCGGTTTTAACCGGTTGTCGCTTAACTACCCCTGTCCGTGTTGCGTGTGTGATGCTGCAGAGCTGACAGACGCACGCTTGTGTTTGTCGCCATGAGGAGTTTGCCACGCTCAATCCACTGCTGCACGATGGCATATTTATTTAAATCCGGTGGGCGAAACCTCACAATGCAATGTTATATTCGCATATCATTCGGATTGTTACTTTAACAGAAATATTGCTTGTCGTGCTCCGAGTACACGAGGAGTGTGAGAATGGCGTGGTGGTGACGATGACAGAGCAACAGCGGGTCGTTTATATATCGAAATACAACTTTAAAATGTAAATATTTCATTACGCATTGGCTCACACAATCTGTATCAATGGCAATTGTTCATGAAACTCAGTAGGTGCGGGCAAGGGACACGTGGAGACCAGGGACTATGGGGACCGATGGTCGAGACTGGAACGATGGAATCACACCGAGCAAAGGCGGAGTCAGGTCGATTAGACGTTTCGGGCCAGTAGCGTACTTCCCGACTGAAGGCCGTAGGGCCAAGACGCACTTTTATTTCAAATGCCACTCGGCCGGCAGACAACATCAAAGCGTGAGCACAATTACAGATTTTAAATAAAGTAATGAGTCATAATAACGAGAGCAATTACGTTGTAAAATCACATTCGACACTTAAACAGTTTAAATGAGGACAGAGACGGCAGAATGGAGATGCCAAGAAGAATTGATATTCGAATCAAACGTGCAAATTGTGTGTCTATGTTTGTGCAACGTGTGTATTTGTGAGTGTATCAGAATCGGAGGTGTAGTGGCATCGCAGGGCCGTGACGCCTTCTATCCAGCAGTAGATAGAAAATGGATAATGATGACAATTTTGATGCTTTCGTTGAACAACAGTGGGCATATACGGTCCAGACTTTATTTGGCACTGGTTGATGGACAATTGCGGTGATAACTTAAACAAGCAATTACGAACAATGTCACACGGAATAGAACATAGAAATATTCATCAATGACACCGTGGCCTTAAAAGAGAGCAATAGATATGATAGGAAACGTTTCGGGAAATTTCCCTTCTTCAGAGGACTTAACGTTGAAGTGTCATTACTCAGAAATGTCGCAAATTATATTTTTATTTTTATTTTAAGACTCCGGTATTATTGATACGTGTGTTGATTCCCGAAATACCGGGTGTTCTATTTATTATATTTACAATAATATTTATTTGAACAAATAGCAGGTAGGGTTGTTTATTTTTCCATTCTGTTTATGTCATCTTAAAAAGGAAGAAACCATTTTGATGTGCATGATGGTAATAGATAACATATTAACTTACTTTTTGTTAACAATTCAACTGCTTTAATTCCACTCTTAAAATAAATTAAATAAGCCTATGTGGGCCTCCGTGTTAAACACATTGTATATAGATTGTTTATATGGTGTATATATGTGCTTGTGGATCACTGCCAAAGGAACACGCAACAGCAAAATCTGAGTCATTTCTTTAATTTCGTACGTAGCCGTTCACGACCAACATAATTCATAACCGCTCTATTTTAGCTTTAGACCGCCTGGGTATGGTGTCAGTTCAAGCTGTGAACCCTCCACCACCCGACAGAGCCATTCTTATGATACACGACAACGTTCCGCTGAAGATTCTGCTCGCTTGTCAACCACATCGGTTGCAATTCGCCACAGATCGTGCTTGGCGTACATGGCTGTGGCGGTTAATGGACACTCTATCCGCGCGATATTCATCCCAACAGTAGGTAGCGGCTAAACATTACGATGATGATGATGACGATGCTCATAATGATGCCTTCGTCAAGCAGCGATGAACATCCGTGACACCGGATAATCATCATTATCGATATCAGAAGTATTGTTGTAGTCATGACTACGACAATTGTATAACCCTCCAAAGTCAGAAACTCAACGCATTAGTCAATAAAATGCCTTGCAACGGGGGAAGCAATCATAATAGTAGCCGACGTTTGATGCGCCACGATGGATAGGAGATGTTAACCATCTCGCCTGGTATACAGGAGGTCGTGGGTTCGATCCCGATCCTGACGCCTGCTGCTGTATATTTGGAAACTGTGCGTGACTCTCTCTCATCATCATCATCACGGTGGCTAGGAGATGTTAACCACCTCGCCTGGTATCCAGGAGGTCGTGTGTTCGATCCCGACCCTGACGCCTGCTGCTGTATATTTGGAAATTGTGCGTGTCTCTCTCTCATCATCATCATCATCATCACGGTGGGTTGGAGATGTTAACCACCTCGCCTGGTATACAGGAGGTCGTGGGTTCGAGCCCGACCCTGACGCCTGCTGCTGTACATTTGGAAATTGTGCGTGACTCTTTCTCATCATCATCATCATCACGGTGGGTTGGAGATGTTAACCACCTCGCCTGGTATACAGGAGGTCGTGGGTTCGATCCCGACCCTGACGCCTGCTGCTGTATATTTGGAAATTGTGCGTGTCTCTCTCTCATCATCATCATCATCATCACGGTGGGTTGGAGATGTTAACCACCTCGCCTGGTATACAGGAGGTCGTGGGTTCGAGCCCGACCCTGACGCCTGCTGCTGTACATTTGGAAATTGTGCGTGACTCTTTCTCATCATCATCATCATCACGGTGGGTTGGAGATGTTAACCACCTCGCCTGGTATGCAGGAGGTCGTGGGTTCGATCCCGATCCTGACGCCTGCTGCTGTATATTTGGAAACTGTGCGTGACTCTCTCTCATCATCATCATCACGGTGGCTAGAAGATGTTAACCACCTCGCATGGTATGCAGGAGGTCGTGGGTTCGAGCCCGACCCTGACGCCTGCTGCTGTACATTTGAAAATTGTGCGTGACTCTCTCTCATCATCATCATCACGGTGGCTAGGAGATGTTAACCACCTCGCCTGGTATACAGGAGGTCGTGGGTTCGATCCCGACCCCGACGCCTGCTGCTGTACATTTGGAAATTGTGCGTGTCTCTCTCTCATCATCATCATCATCACGGTGGGTTGGAGATGTTAACCACCTCGCCTGGTATACAGGAGGTCGTGGGTTCGATCCCGACCCTGACGCCTGCTGCTGTACATTTGGAAATTGTGCGTGTCTCTCTCTCATCATCATCATCATCACGGTGGGTTGGAGATGTTAACCACCTCGCCTGGTATACAGGAGGTCGTGGGTTCGAGCCCGACCCTGACGCCTGCTGCTGTACATTTGGAAATTGTGCGTGTCTCTCTCTCATCATCATCATCATCATCACGGTGGGTTGGAGATGTTAACCACCTCGCCTGGTATCCAGGAGGTCGTGGGTTCGATCCCGACCCTGACGCCTGCTGCTGTATATTTGGAAATTGTGCGTGTCTCTCTCTCATCATCATCATCACGGTGGGTTGGAGATGTTAACCACCTCGCCTGGTATCCAGGAGGTCGTGGGTTCGATCCCGACCCTGACGCTTGCTGCTGTCAAGTGTAAATGCTGCACGTGACATTCCACTTCGTTGAGCCACAAAATTTGCGATCGCCAGGTCGCTTCTAAAAACAAAAAAAAGAGCTATACAGCTCAGTGGGGCCTGGTAAAATACCAACAAAAAAGAGCGTTTAGTTGAAATATTCCTTCGTCATAGGCAGACGCGCAACAGCAGCAGTGGAGGAGGAGGAGGATGATGAGGAGGAGGAGGTTCGAGTGGAGTCGTGGTGGCCTCCGGCACTTGACGTCCGTGTCACTGCGTCGTCACCCTGCCATATTGCCGTTGACGGGTGAGAGAATTCAATCTTTCTGCATACTGCCCGCCCCCATCCCCACCGCCCGTCTCGAGCCGGGGGACCGGGGCCCGACTCTGTCCGAGTGTCTGTCCCGAGCCGTGTCACCATATGGGGATACACGGGGAAGAGATGCAGGTGACAACCCCCCCGTGAATCATGACATCCCCCCCCTCTGTCCTCCACCCCCCACGACTGTCTCCACCCCCCCCCCGTTCCTCCTGCCACCCCCCCCGCCTCATCCACTCCCAACCCCCCCATCCCCCATCCACCCCCTGCAAGTTATTTGTCTCGTAGAGCTCTTCATAGTGAGTGTCTGCCACAACAACACCGCTCCACCCCCCCCCCTCACACACGATTCCCCATCCCCCCCCTGCCCCCCTCACCTCCACCCCCCCTCCTCGAGACATCGCCGCTCCTCACTTCGCCTCTTTCACGTGTAGTGATGATGGTGGTGATGGTGGTGGTGGTGATGATGGTGGTGATGATGGTGGAGATGGTGATGGTGGTGATGGTGGTGATGGTGGTGATGATGGTGATGGTGGAGATGGTGATGATGATGATGGTGATGATGGTGATGGTGATGATGGTGATGGTGGTGATGATGGTGGTGATGGTGGTGATGGTGGTGATGATGGTGGTGATGGTGGTGATGATGGTGGTGATGGTGGTGATGATGGTGGTGATGGTGGTGATGATGGTGTGGTGATGGTGGTGATGATGATGGTGATGATGGTGATGGTGATGATGGTGGTGATGATGGTGGTGATGGTGATGATGGTGGTGATGATGGTGGTGATGGTGGTGATGGTGATGATGGTGGTGATGGTGGTGATGATGGTGGTGATGGTGGTGATGGTGGTGATGGTGGTGATGATGGTGGTGATGGTGGTGATGATGGTGGTGGTGGTGGTGATGGTGGTGATGATGGTGGTGATGATGGTGATGGTGATGATGGTGGTGATGATGGTGGTGATGGTGGTGATGGTGGTGATGATGGTGGTGATGGTGGTGATGATGGTGGTGATGGTGGTGATGATGGTGGTGGTGGTGGTGGTGATGATGGTGGTGATGGTGGTGATGGTGATGATGGTGGTGATGATGGTGGTGATGGTGATGATGGTGGTGATGATGGTGGTGGTGGTGATGGTGATGATGGTGGTGGTGGTGGTGGAGGTGATGATGGTGGTGATGATGACGGTGGTGATGACGGTGGTGAAGATGGTGATGACGGTGATGGTGGTGGTGGTGGTGATGATGATGGTCGTGGTGATGGTGATGATGATGGTGGTGGTGATGGTGGTGATGGTGGTGATGATCATGATGGTGGTGGTGATGATGGTGGTGGTGATGATGGTGATGGTGGTGATGGTGGTGATGATGGTGGTGATGATGGTGGTGAAGATGGTGATGACGGTGATGGTGGTGGTGGTGATGATGATGGTCGTGGTGATGGTGATGATGATGGTGGTGGTGATGGTGGTGATGGTGGTGATGATCATGATGATGGTGGTGATGGTGGTGGTGATGATGGTGATGATGGTGATGGTGATGATGATGGTGGAGATGGTGATGGTGGTGATGGTGGTGGTGGAGATGGTGGTGGTGATGTTGGTGATGGTGATGATGGTGGTGGTGATGGTAGTGGTGATGATGGTGGTAATGATGGTGATGATGGTGATGGTGATGATGGTGGTGGTGATGACGGTGGTGAAGATGGTGATGACGGTGATGGTGGTGGTGGTGATGATGATGGTCGTGGTGATGGTGATGATGATGGTGGTGGTGGTGGTGATGGTGGTGATGATCATGATGGTGGTGGTGGTGATGATGGTGATGGTGGTGGTGGTGGTGGTGATGATGATGATGGTGGTGGTGGTGGTGATGATGATGATGGTGATGATGATGATGGTGATGGTGGTGGTGGTGATGATGGTGATGGTGGTGGTGATGGTGATGATGGTGGTGGTGATGGTGATGATGATGGTGGTGATGGTGATGATGATGATGATGGTGGTGGTGATAGTGATGATGATGGTGGTGGTGATGGTGATGATGATGATGGTGATAGTGGTGGTGATGCTGGCCACCCACCCCCTCGTGTACCGTTCCAGCCTACGTAAGTCGACGCGAGCAGCACTTGCCCCAACAGTCTGTTCAGGCTATACGGGGGATCTTTGTTTTTAGTGGTGGTATTGGTGGTGATGCCCAGGGATTAATTTCTCACTTTAACTGTTTTTTTTTCGAAACGCTGCTCGGCTGGGCTTCGTGCTTATCGATGTAAGGCACTGCCAATGGAGTCCTGGGTACGGCTATGTATATATGCATGCATGCCGTGTAGAGATCATATGGCCAGTTTTAGGGCAAACCAAGGCGAGTTGGACGTTAATTGCCAGCCACATTGTCTGGCCCGGTGGCTCAGTGGAGCAGCGAGCGGCTCACAATTGGAAGGTTGCGAGTTGGAATTCTGGTTGGGGTTGTTTTACCATTTGCTGCTAATGTTACTATTTTGCGTGCATGCTGTGGCGTAGTCATGATGATAATGATGATGCCGATGATGGTGTTGAGCATGTTTAAACAATCTCTATTATTTATTGACGCAGGCATCAGCGTTATCATCATCAAGATTAGCCATTATCCATCCGCTGCTGGATGAAGAGGCATCACCAACCTTAGACATAACGAACGGTAAAACCGATCGGAGAGCTGTGATGCTGCTGGCGATGATGTTGACGACGATGATGGTGAAAATTGTGATGATGGGAATGATGGTGATGATGGCTATGGTGATGATGACAACGATCGTGATGATAATGATGATGACAATAATAGTAATGATGATGATGATCATCATCATTATGATGGACGTGTTGGTGATTGTTATGATGATGCTGATGCTGATGGCGACAATGACAATGATGGTGGTGATGGTAATGATGATGACGCTGATTATGCGATGTGATGCCAGGCGAGAGAGGAGCAGAGAAAGGAACGGTTGCGCCCAGAGCCCAAGTTCCTCCTACAGAATGTGGTTGCCCCGGGAACTGTTCTGGTAAGTTAGGCGGTGGAAAGTTGGGGAAGTCGGTGGGGGGGGGGAGGGTTGGCGGACAAGGAGAGAAGGAGGAGGAGGGTGGTGGTGGGGGGTGGCGGCGGTGGTGATGGTGACATAAAGAGATGAACATAAAGCGTGGAACTCAGCGAAGCAAGAGGTCACACACCCGGCGCGATACGGTTTTGCAAATATACACAGCCCCCCATTCAGGGGGCACACAAAGCGCGGCTGCTCTCGTCTTTGTTGTGACAGCACTCAGAGGAGGAGAGAGAAAGGCAAAGTCTGCAAAGTCTAGCCTTCTTTTGCCCCTGTCACCTCGTTAGTATGAAAATATATGGCTTCTTAGCCCCCCTTTTCTCCGCGTCCTCTCTTTCTTTAGTCCTCTCGTTCTTTCTTCCTTCGTCCAAAAAAAGTGCCACTTCAAAGATCGGCCGCCACATCCGCGGTTCGCCCTCGGGTCCTCCTCCTCCTTCCTCCTTCTCCGTGTCCGTCCGAATGTTCGCGCCTCCTCCGCCATCACGCCGGAGTATTCTCTTAGAATTCACTGGCTTCCACGTGTAATCTCGGACACGTGCAACTCGCTGTCGACGTTGATATTCGGTGTTGAATTGGAACAAAGTCGCTTGCCGTTTGAATTGCCAGTCAGTTCTCGCGAACACAAGAACGCGGTTCTTGAACGCAAAGGGATTTATTAGTGATCGCGACGACGATGTGGATATTCACAACAACAACAAACACAAACATTTACCGAACCAGGAAAAGCCACACGCGCATCCGCGTGGCGAGGCAGAGAGACGCGAGCGCGCTTGGGACCACGCCGCGAGACGGAACGAGGCAGGCCCCGGGTCCACGACGATTCAAACGCCGAAGCGAGAGGAGGTACCCCGACTTGCAAGGCTGCCTTGGGCAGGACGCGTCGACAACGCGGCGGGGTGACGGTGGGGGGGCGATGTGGCCGATGGGCAAGATCAGTGACGGAACGGCAGCCAAAGACTGGAGCGATGAGTTCAGCTCGTGTGCGTGTCGGTGCCGTACTGATTTTTTTTGCATCGCGTCATTGTAGCGGTGGGGTTGGTGGGGCATTTGCGGCAGGCGTTTATCCTTCACCCAGCAGTGGATTGAACAAGATGGTGGTAGTGATTATTTTTTTAATGGAGACGCTGCTACCAAATTAGTCGTTTCAGCAACGTCCACCGCCCCCGCCCCCCGGCCTGCCCCACGCCACACGCAATTCACCTTTGACACGAGCATTCCCTGATCATCCAATTACTGGTCAGTTTACCCATGACTGACACTAATCCTGACCCCTAGTCTGACCCTAACGCGTTCTGTTTGTATTTAGGCCACGTTAGTCTGTTCGCCGTGAATGCGCGCATTCGCACAATCCCTTTGGCACTCATGCAGTGCTGATGAGAATGATGATGATGGCGAGGATGGTGACGAGGACGACAACGATTGTGATGATGATGATGATGTGAACTCACCTGCAATGATATTAAACGTAACCAGAATCCAGTCATGTGTGTTTCCACGTGTATATATATATGATTACGTTGAAGTCCATCAACCTATTGAAGTGTGTCCATTATGCTCATCGGAAACTCACAATGAGATTGTGTAGGCACTCACTTCTTGCGTTGAATGGAACCCCGTAGTGTACACGGGAGGTTCGTGTCAACAACAGACGGTGCACCCAGCAGAAATGTGTTTTTTTTATTGACGAGCCTGACTCTGCTGATGCGACCCATAATGATCGAAGCCGGTCCAGAGCGTTGCTTGGTCAAGGAAATGTTGCTGAACAACAATGGGCGACAAAGCCGACCATTCATCAAGATTAAACAGGATTGCGTTAAAGCTTTCGTGACTGCAGGGATTCATCTTCTTGGTTCTTTCGGTAAAGTCACGTAGAAGGGTAATAATAAAATAATTAAAATAAAACATAATAAAATAATTCTCACGACGTTTCGGCCACAACGCAAGCAGCCGTCATCAGGTGAAGAACAGGTCTGTCGAGAAGACAGCGTCTGAATGAGTTTACCGAAAGAACCAAGAAGATGCGTTAACATCGTTGTGTTTTGACGAATTCTTCGGTGACAGACTTTGGCAATCCACTGCTGGATGAAGAAAAACTCCCCAAGCCGTCACTATCACCATCATCAGCCACGGTCAATCCACTGGTGGATGAAGGCCTCGTCACGCCATGTCGGTTGTTTGACCATACTTCACCAGTGACGAGTGAGATATAGTATATATATAAAATATATATTGACCGATAATGGAAAGCGTTCCTGAGTCTCGAGACGCTACTGTTCCTGTGAATTGTACCCTGGGATATTTTGCAATTAGATTTGTATTTATTTTACGTATTTAATAATGTTGTTGTTGTTATTGTTGATGGGTGATGATCCTTGATTTTGATTGATTATAATGATATTGATGATTTTTGGATATAACTTATTGATGATGATGATGGGTGACGGTTATGATAATGAATCGTGACGGTTGATGGCAACTGATGCTGGTGACGTTTGCTTCTGGTGAGGACAACGATGATGATGATGATTCTATTTGATGATGATTACATTTGACGATGATGATTCTATTCGATGATGATGATTATATTTGACGATGATCATATTTGACGATGATTATTATATTTAACGATGATGATGATTATATTTCACGATGATTATTCTATTTGATGATGATTATTATATTTGATGATGATTATATTTGATGATGATGATTATATTTGACGATGATGATTATATTTGACGATTATGATTATATTTCACGATTGACGATGAATGACGCGAGTCCAACAACACCTGAGACGGGGGGGGGGAGGGACTGCACGGATGCAAGGCGGGCCGCGTGCTGTTCCTGCAATAGGGTCTTGGCCCGAAACGTCGCGTTCACGTGCCGGGGGGAGGGGTATGGGGTCACGCGCCGATATCTGTTGGTCGACAACGAGCCTTTGTGACCCGCGGCTTGTCAATGCGGCGCGTCGTTTGCGAACGCGACGGGGGCGACTTTTGGTTTGTTCAGTCGCCCCCGTGTAGTGGACGGGAAAGGCGACAACGACGCGGATTTGGTATCCGCCTGCCCGCCGTACCTTTCTTCATTACTGACAACTTGCAGCTCAGCACACGGCAGATGCCTGCGCAGCGCGACTCACGACCTCCTCTTGATACCAATATCCAGGATGGTCATCGTGTCTATGCGCCGCTTCTCGGTGGCAGCCCCAACATTCTGGAACGATATCCCTCTGCACATTCGCAGCATCACCTCAATGGCCTCCTTCAAGAGACACTTAAAAACTCACCTCTACAATCACGTGCTTTTGAGCGACTCTAAGCTTGGCTCCGCGCCTCTGAGTAGCGGCCACTACGTCTGCAAATTTGTGCGCGTTACAAATTGAACTATTACTATTATCAGGCTCAGCGCATTCGAAAAACACGCCTCGGACTGCGAGACGAAACGGGGAACGGGCGATCGCTGCTCGAACCGCCACACTGGGGCACGGTGGCCGATGGTCGAGCGGTGTGACGGAGTCGCAGTCAAAGGAGGGAAAAACCCGAGGGACGCGTCCCAGCAGAAATGACGAGCAATACTCGCCTTGTGCCGTTTGAGCCAAAATGCGATCATGATATTAGGTGCTCATCGGTGGAGGTAAATACGGGTATAACTCCACCGTTCTGTTTCTTCAAACATACATTTGTATTTATATATGTGTATGTCTGTGTGTGTTTTAAGCTCGTCAGCCTGTTTATTGGCTTTCCCGACCAAATATTAGCCAGCAGCAACGTTTGTTTAACCAAGTGAAACTCCGGGCTCGTTCAACAAATGCTGCTGGGATCCGAGACATCATTGGCAAGAGCACTACATCTAAATTATTGGGGACCCTGTTATAACATTTGTGATATCTTTATGAAATGTTCTAAGGATTTTTTTTTGTTCGAATTAGTCTGCATATAATATTACGTGTTTGCTAATAATATAATATCTTTCAACTACGCTTTTGTTATAATTATGTCATTCGAACAGTAATTAGTCCCGGATTGGTGTCATATTATGTATCTATAAAATATAATGTTCGTGTCAATTGGCGTATTATATACATGGGATGTTATATTTACTGGGGTAATATACATTGCGTTTCATGTTTTCATCTGTTGTTACCTTTCTTTTAAATTATCATGTTTGTTAGTTCCACGTCCAATGTTGTGTCGGTAACAAATATTGTGTTTGTATTAAAGTGTGAGGTTTGTGCTATGAGAAGTGGTAGCGTGGCTGTTTGTGCACCGCAACTACGAACTCGGAGATCCGAGTTCGATTCCCGCTCACGGCCAACTTCCACGACTATTATTTGATCCAGTCATTGGCCTCCCATAGGTCGACTCAGCCCCAAATGAGTACCTGGTGTGGTGTGTATACATTGCCACTGGGGAGACAAAGGCGGCCGGGCATGGTGCTGGCCACCCACCAATTCGTGTGCTGTGTCAACCTTCATAGGTGCTCGCTAACAACACTCTCCCCCAACAGTCTGTTTAGTTTATACAGCGGATCTTTGCGTTTGTCTTGAATGTTGGATCTATAAAATCTGGTGTTTGTGTCAAATGTGAGGTCTGCACAAAATGTGTTTCGTGTGAAATGGTGTTCATGTCTCACGTTATGTTTCATGACAAATGTTACGTTTGGAATGACAAGTTAAATAAACGTCTAACTGTACGACTGTAGAATACTGTATGTTGTTAATGTCAAATTAGTATGCGTAGCATCTCAAGTTAAAATTAGAATCGGAATAGTTAATTATCCTGGAGAAATCCGATGGGTTATGGAGCTCCGTTTTTTAAAAGATGTCCAGCAAAGTCGCATCTTTATCAAGATTTGAATTCCTATGTATGTCTGTTTATCCACTGTGCATTTTTTTAAAAATGGTCCGTTCATGACGAACGTTCTATCTTCATCATTGCATGGGGTCGTCTTTTCTTG